ACACACACACACACACACACACACACACACACACACACACACACACACACAGGCCTGCACCTGGAGGGGAGAAGGAGGTGATCGGGGGAGATAATTAAATGAGATAATGAAGAGTCCATCATCTCTCTGTTCACAGAAAATGAAAAGAGACAATTCATCCTCCTCTTCTTTTTCATCGGGAGGAGGATGAAGAGGAGGTGTAGAGGGGACTAACAGTGACTAACTTAAGCTCTAAATGCGAATTCCTCCGCTGCTTAAAATAGTCCCCAGTGGAAACACTGAGCTCCATCAACTGTTCCACCAATAACAGCTCATGCTGGACAAGAGGAGCATGAACCAGGATTCAAACCTTCTGACCCCGAACATCAACTACAACCTTGACAACTCTAACCCTAACAAGAAAAGATGACAACGTCAACAACTACAAAGACACTATTAACGTTAGCGACGACTACATCAACAAGAGAAACGTGTCGATATCAAAGTTGATTGAGAAACAACGAGGAGACGCTGAAGGTAACATCAATGACATCATCAGAGGAGGTGAAACTGCCGCTGGTTGACTTACAGTTGCTGTGACAACTGTTGTGGTTCTCTTTGAACTGAACAGCTCGTTAACAGAAGCCTCATTAAGAAAAACAACAAACACACAGCTGTCAATCAATCTGAATGTGTGTGTGTGTAAATAGTATTTACAGTATATATTGTACTATAATACAATAGTACTGTTTTATAAAGATCTTTTGTAGCACTGATGACTCATAGTACTTAGCAGTCTATTGCAGTTCACCCATTCACACACACATTCGTACAGTGTATCTATAGGCAGCACTTTTATCTCTATGACAGAGTAGGTGTGTGTTATCGGTATGTGGCAGGGACAGGGATCGAACCACCGACCTTCTAATTAGGGTACCGCACTACCCCTGAGCCACAGCTACCCTGTGTGTGTGTGTGTGTGTGTGTATCTATCTACAGTTATGAAGCATGTAATGCATTTCATTATGTAATGTGAAGCTAAAATACCAACAGAGATAACAACACTGTGCTGATTTACTCACAATCAATACACACACACACACACACACACACACACACCTGCTAAATACCATTTAGAGGACGAGAGATTCGCTGCATGTCTCCTTTCTTCGTCTTTGTGTGTAGAAGAGGAAAATGAGGAGGAAACTTGTTTCTGAGGACGATGGTTTTGTTAAAAATCTTTAGCGTCTTATTTAAATGTTGCGTTGTGTTTCAGATGACGTGTTGAGGGTCAAACTCTCACTTCATTTCTCAGGTAGAAAAAAATATTCAGCTTCATCATCCTCTCACAGATTCATGCATTTAACATTTAGCTGGCCGGGGGCCTCTGGGGGCCCCAAACATTATTCTGCTGTCAGTCACCCTGAAACACCGCCAGTAATGAGATTCTCTCCAAAACCCACCTTCAGCATGAGAGTCAAATCACACCTCCGCCCGCCACCTGACTGACAGCACGTCGTCTACCCATAATCCAATGCTGCAGACACCAGAGACGCTGCAGACGCCAGACCTGCCCCCCCCACAAAGGAAAAGATTCTCACATCTGGTATTCAGCACGAGAGTGGGAAAAGATGAAAGCTTCATTTTATCATCTTCATCTTCCTCATCTTCATCTTCACAAAAAATTCTTCTCTGATGTCTGGTTAAAGACGTTAAACTGACCGAGGTTCAACCTGTGGGACGAGTTGTCTCGAGGGATGTCACTGTCTCGCTGACTTTTCAAGACTCAGCTGAAACATCGTGTTTGATTTTAATTTGATAAAAAAGAGATAAAAACACACAAACAACAAACTGAATCTCTCCGATAAAAACTGGTGAATAAGAACAGAAAGTTCTGGACGTGAATGAACGAACTTGACAACGTTACAGCGTGAGTAAGGATGGCGGTTGATTGTTTGGAGACAGGAAATGTTTGGTCGTATGATCAACCTCGAGCTGTGACTGTGAACGGACTCGTCTTGTTGAATAAGTGTTATTTACAGCTCATTGTGATTTCAACCTTTATGTTGACGTTTCTATGGAGACGTGAAGCTGCAGCGGCGAAGCAAGGGCTGGTGTTTCTGCTCGTCTGACCCTGACACGTTTCCTGTTCAGTAGACGCCGCCAAAAACACAGGAGACCTTCCCATCATGCATTTCAGCAGGCGGGGGAGAAAAAAGAGCAGCACTTATATGACCATTTCTCTTTTCAAAGAGCTGCCGCAGTTACATCCATCCACTTATACCTCCACACCTCCATCACTCCATCCATCATTTTATCCATCCAACGCCACTGCCTCAGAGAAGAGAGAGATAGAGAGAGAGAGAGAGTGAGAGAGAGAGAGAGCGAGAGACAGAGAGAGGGGAACAGGGGGGAGGGAAGAATGAGATTAATACTCAGGGGGAGGAAGAAAGTAGAGGAGGAGGGGTGAAGAAAGGAGGAGGGGGAGGTGAAAAGAGAGTATGATTCCTAATGGGAGAGGGGGGTGGGCAGGAAGGAGGAGAGGGAGGAGTAGAGGGGGGATTCAGCCTCACTCAGACCAATCTATGAATTAACTAACTAACTAGCTAATTGCACACACCTGAACTAACCACAGTATGTGTAAATAAAGATGAACGACACAACAGCTCCTCTAAAGTGAAACCAAATCATCTGCATCGCCCCCTGATGGCTGTCTGCAGTATAGTCATATACCCTCCTCCTCCATGTTAGCGGATGGGATGTGGAGCAATGTAATAAAATCATGTAGACGTTAAATAAATGTATGTTAAAGATGGTTTCTGTCATTTTATGAGTTTCTTAAGTTTGGTTTGAATTAGTTATTTGATGATATAAATGTCATGATTGACAGCTGAGACTGACTCAGAATTGGTCAAGTTATGTATGGGCGGGGCCTTAACACCATGGCTCCACCCCACGATCACTACTGCACAGACACTGAAAGTCATTAGTATTGTCAGTGACAGTGTGTGAACATGTGACAAATTCATTCTTCTTTATACCTGAACTGAAGAATGACTCACACACACACACACACACACACACACACACACACACACACACA